ATCTAAAGATGTGACAGAAGACAAAGAAATACAGGTATGTGAAAACTAGTGATAGAATTGTTTTGAGAGTGTGGATCTAGTTACATGGTTTAAAAGTTAGATACCCAGGCTTTACGTAATACCTGTTTATTGTCACACATTCATTACATCGGCAGCTCTAGAGGAAGAAGCCTCGACAGCATCACACCACATAAAGTACATAAAGACATTTTCAATATGGCCTGAGTTTGCTTTTAACAATTAGTTTTGTGTGAATGTAACACATTTCTAATTTTTAGTGAAAATGACCATCTCTATTATCAACAATCAATCACAATGCTCCATCATGTCGGTGGCCTCGTGTGGTCACCCAGCAGCATCATGGGATATGGGTCTTGGTCTGTTGGTCTTTTTCGTGTCAATGCCATCCGCTGTGGATCTGGCAACATAAGCCATAATTACTGTACACTATAAACGTCTGTACGCACATCCAGCAATTATGGTCGCTCTAAGTATCAGTCAGTGAGGGCACAGCGCCGCCTGGACCCATGCCGCTGCAGCATACGTGCCGTTCTGGGGGGAAAAAACTGTGATTTTGTGGAATAAGGTATTGTTTTGGTCAATGCAAAATGTTCAGTGCATGCCTGGGAAAAGGGGGTCAAAAGGAGGCGGGGTTTGACGAGAGGAAATTGGCTTAAAGCTAAGTGCACACAAAGCTTCTGTAAAGGGTAAGGGAAGATAAATGATATGTTAGGACTGAAAGCACATTGGGATAACGGTTTCCTGCTTCCGTAAAGCTTAGATTTCAGATATTCACCAATAATTAATCTTAATCTGTCTTGGGTCGATTCAAATGTAACGCCGCTCACTTGTGTTGGATTTATGGAGAATGGAGAAATACACTTTCATGAATGATGTCTCAACAGAAAGATTCTTGTTGTGATCCTATTCAGACCATACCATGCCACCTTCATCTCATGTTATCGGAAATCATTATAACTATTACTATTAATTACTGAGCATGAGTGGTCTTTTCTTTCTCACTTTTCTGTCTAATACTGAAGATTGTATTAGCTAGTTCCATATTTTTCAATTATTTTAAACATTAGGTTACCCAGCTTTAAACGCCAACTCAATGCTTGTTATACCAACACATTTCTACTTCTGAATGCATGAAAATAGCACTCCCATTGTGTCAGAAACTCTCATTAAGAAATGTTTTGTTTTTTTTTGTTTGGACTGACACATAGAAACAAAATAAGGACATCAAGCAGAGTAATGAACAACCGCATACAGCAACAACTCCCTCTGCTAAAAACAGATTATTTTTGGTGTTTTGATTTGAGCAACATGTTCACTGTTCAACAATAACCCCTGTTTATGGACAGCTTGAAGACAACAGTCTACCAGTTAAAGCTGGGATATGTAACTTTCAAATCACACAAACATTGGACTGAGTTATCTACTAGTATCACTAGTTTTCATCAGCATGTGTTTTTAGCCTCTGTCACATCTTTAGATCAGCTTTTTCAGACAGACAAGTGAAATAAGAGCAGACCACCCTCATACAACCAATCAGCTCTCAGCACAAAGCATCAAATAGGGACTCCCTGGGCTCTTTTGTAGAAGTAATGAAGTAATGAAGAATTAACATGTTTTCTGATAAGTCAAAGACAACATTTTACTTTTACAAGCCTTTAGTCTGTAATTATTATTATTTATTAAACTAAAAAGATAGGTACCCCAGCTTTAATGTGGTGTAGTTCTATATAAAACTATTAAAACCAAAATCAATACGACTGCAACAACTTCAGGATTTGTTGAATTGATATCCCTACGCCCATAAGTGGAAACTTGAATGGACTATAGCAATGTCTTTGGAGTTTTCTGTCTCCACATGTTTTGCTGTTCGGTTTCAGTTTATTTAGTTATTTCCGACGTTTCAAACATTTCTGACAATTTCAGACACAAGATTGAAAAGAACATGCTGTTTCTTCTGTGTAATAACTCACTAGCTCTTAGCGTTTTAATGTATCGACTGTTTTAGATGTGGCCAATATGAAGCACTTTGGGTTGCATTCTGTCTGAGCTGAGCTACAGAAATACATTTATTTTTTTTATATTTTATTGATTGATTGATTGATTGATGGGTAGGCCTATTTAAATTTGTGTTTACAGTATAGGCTTCACATACAGAGGTTGATTGAAAAGTAGGGCACACACGCCACACAATTAGCAACATAATCGTTCTACCTGTGTGAGTTGTGGTTTAAAATGGGGTAATCATGTGTAAAATTAAGATTAAGAAGATTTTGTTCGTCCCACAGAGGGGAAATTTCAGTGTTGCATTACAATTTAAAAAACAGTAGCAATGAGGAGCACACAACACAAGATATGGAGCTTTCGCGAAAGTTCACTGTGGTAGACCCGGCTGCTGCTTGCCCAGATCTACAGGCTGCTCTTCCTCGGCTCATCAGACCAGCAACGCCCACATCCAGCCAACCAATAACCACCAGGACAGCAAGTTAAAAGCCGGAGACTCCCACTTCCCGGCCTTCTGAAGTCTGCAAGCCTCCGCCGCCCCACCTCCTCCTTTTCTCACCAAAGCGTGCTTGCCTACTGCCTCTGCCGCCACCAGTGCCTAGGCCCCGGGGGGGATTATGCACGCGAGCAAGCGCCGTGCTCAACAGCATCCCTCCCGGGCCTAGGGCGCCAAACATGCTCAATCAATAAACATGCTTAAATCTATTTTCCTCATGGGTCTCTCCAATGTGAAATAACTCTGTAAGAAAGAGAAAATTCAAACTACTGCAAAAGAATGACTAAAGCAGGATATATGGCTGCTTCTGTTTGAATGCATAAAAAACAATAAACATTAATATTCAAAGCATTTCCTACAGATTCATGTTTACATTTTCACGGAAATCCACAGATACACAATACAAGAAGACAACAGATCTTGGCAAGAGATTCCAGAATTACAGTCAGTTTGGGAAAGGTGACTCGTCAAACCCACAGAAATGCCCACCGCGGCTTTAATCCACCACATGCCCTTTCCGCTGCCGCACAACGATAGATCTGGAGTCAAAGCTTCAGCTGCAGCACTCACAAAGACTTTATAGACAAAAGGTCCAGACCGAGAGAGCACTTAATGTGACCCGCATATGTGTTTTTAAAGCACTTCGGGTTTTTTTCTTTTCTCTTTTTCCATTGACGCCTCTTTAAGTGAGAGCCCAGATAATGTGGAAAGATGGAGATCGTCTCAGACCAGAAATTCTCTCCCATGAATTTAGCAGTGCTCGAGTTATGAGGGGTTTTTTAGTAGCAAAAGTAGTAGTTGCAGTAGTAGTAGTAGTAGTAGTAGTAGTAGTAGTAGTTGTAGAGGGAATAGTAGTAGTAGCAGCAAATGTAGGAGTCGTAATTGCAGCAGAAGTAGTAGTAGCAGTAGTGCTAGCAGTAGTAGCAGTAGTAGTAGCAAAAGTAATAGTAGTAAGAGAGTAGTAGTAGTTGTAGTAGTAGCAGCAGCAAAAGTAAGAGTAGGAGTTGCATCAGTAGCAGAAGAAGTAGTAGCAGCAGCAGTAGAAACACTAGCACTATAGCAGAAGTAGAAAGTATCAGCAGAAAAAGTAAGAGTAGTAGTAGCAGCAGCAGTAGAAGTTAGACGTAGTAGTGGTAGTAGTACATTAAAAGTCTATACTTCAGCATAGGTACTCATATTGAAAACATTCTGAGCCTGCCCTATAAAAATATGTCTTTGATAATGACCAATCTTGCGTTAATTCTTTGGAGTTTTGTTAACTCAGTTGAAGTTTTTTCAACAACTGCTTCGATTCAACTTTTTGTACACTGTGAAATCCCTTATCTATTCACACAATTATCTCCTGCTCAATGGGGTTGGAAAGAAAGGTAAAAGAGTGGCCATTGGTGTGCCCCCCCCCCCCCCCCCCCCCCCCCTCCTGCTTTAGTCATTCTTTTGCTGTAGCTTGATTGGCTAATAGCCCAATTTGCCAGAGATGACATCACAAAATGCCAACTAATACCACACAAATTTAACTCAACAATAATTGCAAGCATCTTAGTGTTATACAGTTTTACATTTATCCAATCAACTCTGTCCTATAGTTTTAACCACCATTGCAACAGACATTATGTTATACAGACTTAAACATACCCCAAAATTACCAACCCAAATACAGTCAGTCTATATGGCAAAGTGGTTGGCATGAACTCTCTGGATCACTTTTTTCCCCCTAAATACTGCCTGCTCCTTCTTGAATCACTGTCATTTCACTGCAGAGTCATTATTCAAGTATAAATTGTGGTGGGCGCTCCTGTTATACTATATGAGAGTGAGTGTGTAAAACTTTTCCCTCGACCAATCACTTTCCAACAGAGCTGCCAAGCCGAGGCGCACAAAAGACATTTATACTGTGCTGTAAAATAATGGACACAAGGATGAAGCGTTGTATGGCTGAATAGGTTTAACTTTCATGTGCATTTTATAAAGTCATATTTTTGTCGTGACAAATTAAGAAACTTTATATTTCAACCACAGCTAGTGATATAGAAGTATAGACAGAGTGAGACAGGCGTTTGTGTAAGCTATAGTTTCATTAAAGGCTACTCAAATCCAATAAATATGAAATAGCAGATGCCAGAATACTTGATTAGGTGAGAAAAATCATTGAAATGGCCTCCCAAAAGGAATCGACTTGGCTTGGTCTATCTGTGGTTAGATGCTACTGTGGTGTTCAATGATATGGTCCATCCATCATTACGCACGGGGAGAGAGACTTTAAAACCTCAATTCCATCACCCCTGTCGCTTCCAGCTGATTCTATGGGCTAAGACAGAAATCATATGTCTTTGTGGGTAAAGTATTTTTCTTTTCTGTTTGATGATGCTAAGTAGCCATGACCAATCCATTTGTCACTTCATCGCTACAAGCCAAAACTATACGACTGGATATAAACTTTTTGCATTACTCGCTTCCACATCCCTCCATCTGTCTATCTGCTTACCTGCGCGGACAGAAGCGATTTGTACAAGCAAAAGGAGCGTGGTGACAGCGGTAAGCGTTGAGTCCAAAAGCCGCCTTTTCGTTTTCCACCTGGCGGACCACCTCTGCGTCTCCATGGTGAGAGATGTCCCGTACAGACGCACAGCCAAAATGGGGGTTTCAAAGCGAGCGTTATCCCTTCTACAATCCACAGGTCATGCAGTGCGTCGTCTAAAGCGCCATATGTGGAGGAAGAAAGGAGAAACGGGGCTGATGCGACTATCCGCGGGGCCGGTGTGGATCCTCTCTGCCTCAGACGGATGCCAAAGGGTCCCGTGGAGAAAAGGACGCTCAAGCTTTGGAGGAGAGCGCGCCGCCACACCGACAGGAGGCTGGGCTGAACCTGAACCGGGGCGCAAACTGACACTGAAGAGCCGCGGCATTGTCAAATCACCGCTGCGTAAAGTTGTGCCTGAGCCCGCCCCCATGTGCCATGAGAGGACTGAGAAGAGGAGCGCATCGCAGCATCCAAGGGAAAAAAGGAGCGGAGGAGCGCGCTGTGGATTTCGGCAGAGATGTTCGATTTAGGGATTCTTTTAATCTACGATACTTTATTTAATCTACGATACTTTATTTAATCTACGATACTTCCTTTTATCTATACCGTACATGCTGCTAACATGTGCAGAAGTATCATTACGTTGAAACCACGGAGCAAATGACTTATTAGGCAAGGTAAGTTTATATAAGTAACAAGACAAAATACAGAATTGCTAAAATCACACCAGGCATTAACATCACAAATAGTCCAAGATACAATCCTTCAGTTGTATCCACAGCTAAACAGAACCATTTTAAGATGGATTTAAACAACCAGATTGTAGCTGTGTACATCTGAAATGCAGCCTCCCCATGTGTAGTCCTGACTCTGGGCACCAGTAGGAGGCCAGATCCTGCAGCTCCTTGGTCTGAGTTTGTTCATATGGCACTAACATGTCACAGATGTACTTAAGTGCGAGGCCATGGAGAGGCTATAAAGTGATCATACTTCCAGGTTCTAGTCAGGACTTGAAGTGCAACGTTTTTTAATATACTGTTTTTTTTGTTTTACAACAAGCAGGCCGTTACAGTCTATAACCTACTGGAGGGAAATGCATGGACAAGAATCTCCATGTCTGCTTTAGTCACTATATAACAGAAAACAAAGTGAACTCATATGATTTAACCACGTCTTTAAAGGTCACTCCTCCTGATTGGACAGTGGGAGTATCTTGTAAGTTGTGATTGGTTTGCCTCTGAGCCGCAGAAGTTCTAGCTCCGCCCAAAGAAGTGAACGCGTCACCAGACTTCACTCTTGAATCATCAAAAGGCTGTAGGTCTTGAGTATTCCCTGGGGGCTCGTGTGAGTGCCCTTGAAAACAGATAGTGAGTCATACTGTAGGTGAAGGAGCAGCTGCTATACTCCAAGCTCAAACATCAACATCTGAAGCAGCACATACATTCTTAAAATGCTTATACACTTCATACAACATTTAAGTGTTTTTTTCTCAGATGTAAATGCTATCGTGAATAGAGACCCATGGCCTACACAGGTGGATAAACGCCAGACAAAATTGCGCCTGGGTTTGGCTTTTTCGTGATGACATAAATTTCAATATATATTGTATCTGTGTTTCATGTTCGGTCTGAATTAACCGCCATTTTGTTGTTGGTGTACAAGATCCCATTTGTTTAAGTCTAATTTTTGACAATGCTATATTCCTGCATTTTCTACCTTCACATTTATAAAGTTTAGATTATACCATTGCTGTGATGATAATATATAGTTTGCAGTGAGACATTTTTAAACTTCTGTTCACATATATATATATAAAACTCTTCATAGAAGCAAGCAGGTGACGTTATCTTAGTGGAGCATCCCAGACAAGGTTTTACCATTTTATTGAATAATGAATACATCTACAGCCTGTCCGTCTGTGGGAGAGGATCCCTCTCTCAAGCTGGGCCTCCCTGAGGTTTCTTACATTTCCTCACTGTTTTTTCTTCTTTTCTGAGCCGTTTCTTGAGCCTACAGGACATTTATGGACATTGGTCAACCTTCTCCCCACAGACCAATGGCTCCTATGTGTTTGTCATTATCATTCCATGTGTTTCAACTGTTCAATTCTCTGATCTGTTGTCTGTGAATCAACCACTTTGGTCCTGCAAAAATAGATCAAAATGAATTCTACCCCCTGCTTTACTGTTCCATCTCTTAGTGAGGAGCGAAAAGAACAAATTAGTTGTATATTTAACATCATGTATATTTATTTCACACCATTATAGTGCACTTTGCGTAATAACATATATGTGGGATTAGGCACTTTATTCCAACTACATAATGACTGTGGCTTATTTGAGATACCTTCTGACTGTGTCCATATGTCTTTCCTTTGTTATTTCCCTCAGATGTGTCATAATCAGGATTGATGGCTTGTCGCCTTGTCTGCATCAATATTAATAATAATTGCCTCCTGAAGCCTGAGAACGTGTTGCACTGCAGTATAATGGCTCGTTTCAAAGCCCCAGTGGCCAAAGTCAAATGTTTTCCAGACTTTAGGAGTTTCCTCGTGCCGTTCATGGATGTTTTTGGACACGCGCTCCTCAGGGCTGGGAGTAATTAAAGGTTTTTGGAGACGACTGAACCAAAGCGCGGGGGCACAGGTGGAAGTTATGCGGGCCTTCTCCTTGTGGGGCGAGGATGGGGCGGTTTAAAGAAAAGCGGTAGAATGTATCAATTTGAGTGAAACCTACAAAGGAAATGGGCACAGTGGTTAGCATTTGTGCTTCATATCAAGAAGCGTGGAGTTTGCATGTTCCCCTAAAATGCCCACAACAATTCTAAAGTGCTTTGGGTCTGTGAAAGGCACTATATAAATAAAGATTACTTACTTGAAATGCGTATGTGGTAATTAAGATACTTTTTAAACAAATTGACCCAAATTATTATTGACCCATTATTATTGTTTTATTTTGCCGGTTGTTGAAACGGTTGTATGCTGCATGCTTTAAATTGTAATTCAGATTTTTGGGTTTGGCTTTATCCAGTGTTTCATTTCAGCCAAAACGCTTTCAGCCATTTGTTTATGCTTTGTTTATGCTTTGTAGACTATTGTAGGCTGAGTGAAGATACTGACACTGGAGCAGTGGCTGTCTGTCACTGTCACAAGACGGTATAGAAACATCCAGAGGGAAATGCAGATAATTATAATGTGTTGAAAATACTGTACAGTATATTGCTTGATATCAAGCAGAGGTTGCATTCATGTTTCAGATTTAGCACTATGGTGAATAGACAGCTATGGCCTAAGCAGATGGACAAACGCAAGACAAAATATCTGACCCTCACAGTCACAAGGACTCTGATTGTGTAACCATGTTATGACTCTGATTTGCTGTATATAAACCATGTCCTGACTTTGTTCTGTCTGAAAAAACTGAAACAACTGAAACCTGAAATAAACTGAATAAAATTCCATGAGCTCTGCTGTGCAAAGATCCCGTCTCTGTGTGGTTAATCTACGACAGCACCCCAAAGTGCCCAAACCCCTCAATGGGAAAGCATTTTCTGAAAGAATTGTTTAAAAAACAGAAAGTTCAAAAGGTTCACCCAGAGCATTCAATAATTAGGAAATGGGTGATTGTAGAGCTATTTGTAAGAAATAAAGTGCTCCAAATGTTTAGAAAGAAAATCAAACAAGCTTTCTGCTCTTTTTCATTTGTGTGACAGGACTACAATTATTTGAAATATACTTGTAATATGTTGTGTATTGTACATAGTAAATTAATTAATAAATAGTATAGATTCACAGAGACGCCATTTTATTTCCATGTCTGGAAGTTCTGTCTACAGTTACACATCATCTCAGTGCATATACTGCATAAATATGGTCTATTTATTTTCCCATAGGGGTGTCTAGAAGTGGTGACAATATTCCAAACACATATGGATGAAGCCACTTGAATTTCAATACAAAGATCAGCATTTACAATACTCTTTAAAAAATTGTGAAAATAAATAGTTTATAAATTAATGTTGTGTATGATTTTAGGGTTATACATTCCCATAATGCATCATAAGGCTGCTCATTTAGTTCTCTCGTCTCGTCGCCTTTGGTCTTTGTCAGTCCTGGGGTCAGTCGGTGGAGTAGCCCTGGGTTCAGACCCACCGCTGGCCTCAACCTAAAGAACAATATTGACCAATGTCTTCAGAGTGATGGATGTCCAGCTTCTGTAATTCCTCCACACATCTAAAGCTCTCCACACTGTCATGGGAAGAAGAGGAATAGGCATTTTGTAACATTGCTTGTTTAATTACTCTGAAAGGAAAAGAGATAAAATGTGTAGATACATTTTTCAAGCTGGGTTTTTCTTTTAGTCGTAACTTGTTGATGCAGGACAGTGATGATACGGGACATTTATGAACAGTTATGGACATTGGTTTTCCCGCTCCCTCTGGACCAATGGCTCCTTTGTGTTTATTGCATTTCCTGTGTTTGATGAAAAATGTAACGTTTAAGTTGCACTTGCCTCCCTACAGTATGTTATGGCAATTCGGAAAATGACTGGTCAGGGCATAGTCGTATGTAATTTGATTCTCTGATCCATTTTTGCCAAATCGACAACTTTGTAAAATCCTCCGAGACGACTTCGGCTGCAATTTAGGGCATTACAAAATAAAAAAATATTGACTTTGAAGAAGGGTTTGTGGAAATGCGTGGCTCCTTGTTTTGAATGAAGTTGATGAGAGCTACCAATATACTAAAAAGCACACCCAAGAATATGTCAATAATAAAAATATTGTCAATATGGCCCAATCCCAATACCCACACTGCACCCTACACTCCTCTACCAAGTGTGCATTTGTTAGAAGAGCACACCAGGGTTTGAGTGCGCAGGTTACAAGTGTGCAAAAAAGGCAGAATTGGGACAGTGCACACTGAGTGCAGGTCACGTCATCAACTCGTCAAGAGATGGTCATTTTCAGACCTAAACTTTATAAAATGAAAGGTAATCTTGTCTGACCCTGTGGGAAACAAAATGAGTTGCTCCACACACGTTTAAATAAATGTATATTGGTTATTTGTAATTTGAGATAGCTGTCTATTTTCAAGTTAAATGTGGGTAACTAACTGTTATCTGGTCAGTTTTTATACATTCTAAGTTTATTGTACTAAGTGTAAAGTTTAAATTGAATGTTATATGAAAGCTTGCATTAAAAGCTTTATTAAATTGTTAAAATACAATGTCCGTAATTCTTCATCAGACATGTATGGATGATCGATCATGGCTCCTACAGTATGTTCAAACTCGATTCTCTGATTATAGTGAAAGTCCTTTGAGACGACTGCTGATGTGATTTAGGCCTATACAAAAATACATTAAATTGAAATTGAGATAAATGAAATAAATTACAAAAAGGCAGATCAGAAGAAAATAAACATGATCGAGGAATTCTACTCACTGCTCTGTTCCCGGGCGAGAGAAGAAACAACATCTATATAACCAGACCAACATGCCATTGGCCAAATTCAAACTTGGAAGCTAAT